TAGTTCTAAGCACATAATCACAAAGCCTAGAAACAGGATTGCACCTCTAGGTATTGAAAAATCATGTCTCGTCCAGAAAATCATGAGACTGAAATCAGTAAATAAACAAGGGGGTGCTTTTCATTTGCCTTTCGGTTTTTGAGTCTCTAGGGTGCATTCAGGTCATGTTTTGAACTCCAAGCTCTCCTCTGCAGCCAGCAAGGCTAGAAAATGAAAGCTGAGATTCCCGTGTGAACCCAGGCCTTAGAAGCTGGAGCTCTAAGAAAAACAAAATCTTGCAAGATTTGTGATAAAATCACAAGACTTGGTGTGATAAATGGGGATGGGGGAAGGTAGCTCCCTTTTATGGACACCCAGCCAGTCAATAGCAATAGAATCCTCCTTGGCAGTTGTACCCAGGGGCGGCTCTATGTTTTTTGCCACTCCAAGCACGGCAGTCAGGCAGCTTTTGGTGGCACGCCTGTGGGCGGTCCGCTGGTCCCGCGGATTCGGTGGCGCGCCTGCGGGAGGTCCGCCGCTGCCGCTCCACCGGCGTCCCCGAAGCCGCGGGACCAGCGGACCTCCCGCAGGTGCGCTACCGAAAGCCGCCTGCCTGCCACACTCACAGCAACCGGCAGGCCGTCCCCCGCGGCTTCCCGCCCCAGGCACGCGCTCCATCCTTCCCACCCTGTAGTAGATGGAGTTTCCCATAACACAACTTAGCACCATTGTGACGGTACAGTCTATATGGTTTTATAAAAACATAAGTGAATATAATGTAACTGGAATATGCTTCATGCAAAAGGTCTCTTGTAAGGTATCATTACAAAGCTTATAATCTACTGAGTGTGATCATCCTATTTGTATAAATGTACCACTCTTGTATCTAAAACTATAAATATAAAATATAACTCTGAGGGCCTATTGTAATTATGCAAAGTGTGGGCCATTAATGGTGGTTTGGAATCTTGATGACTCCCATTAACCAGGACCATTGTCTGCAGATGGCTGTGTTTTACCTGTGAGTCTTCCTGTATATATGTGTGTGCTGGCAAGTGGGCAATGAAGTCTTGCAGTGACATGTGATCATGTCACCTGAACTGGAATCCATCTTTAACCTGGTGCTTTTCCAGTGGGGGGTGTGTGTGTGTGTGTGGAAACCCAGAGGGACAAAGGGTTCCCGCCTTATGCAAAACCAGGGCCGGTGCAACCGCTAGGCAAACTAGGCGGCTGCATAGGGCGCCAAGTGGTTGGGGGCGGACAAAAGCGCTCTCCGGGGCGGCAGTGGAGTGGAGGTGAGCTAGGGCAGGGGGGCGCGGGGAGGGCTGCCTGCAGCAAGTAAGGGGGGTGGCACACAGGGGAACTGCTCCCCGCCCCAGCTCACCTCTGCTTCACCTCCTCCCTGAGCACGCCGCCCCGCTCTGCTTCTCTCCCTCCCAGGCTTGCGGCGCCAAACAGCTGATTGGCACCGCAAGCCTGGGCGGCGGGAGAAGTGGAGCAGCGACGGCGTGCTTGGGGAGGAGGCGGAGCAGAGGTGAGCTGGGGTGGGGAGTTGCCGCCCGGCTCCCCGGACCGGGGGAGCTGCCGAGGGCAGGGGTGCCTCAGGGTGGAGGGGGGGAGCTGCCGCAGGGCTCGGGGAGGGGGCGGAGCAGAGGTGAGCTGGGGTGGGGAGCTGCCGCACGGCTCCCCAGGCCGAAGGTGGGGGGAGCTGCCACAGGGAGGGTGCCTCTGGGTGGGTGGGGAGCTGCCGCAGAGGGGGTGCCTCAGGGCGGAGGGGGGGCGGGGAGCTGCCGCAGGGCTTGGGGAGGGCGCAAGGTGGAAGTTTTGCCTAGGGCGTGAAACATCCTTGCACTGGCCCTGTGCAAAAGATATATAAAGGAGTGGAAGAGAATAGAGGAGGGAGAGGAGCCATCATGAAGAATCCCCTAGCTATCACCTGAGCTGGAACAAGAGCTGTACCAGGGGAAAAGAATTGTGCCCAGGCCTGGAAGGTGTCCAGTCTGAGAAAAAAAAACTTACTGAAGCATCTCTGAGGGTGAGATTATCTGTATTTAGTTTGATTAGACATAGACTTGCGCGTTTTATTTTATTTTGCTTGGTAACTTACTTTGTTCTGTCTGTTACTACTTGGAACCACTTCAATCCTACTTTCTGTATTTAATAAAATCACTTTTTACTTATTAATTAACTCAAAGTATGTATTAATACCTGGGGGAGCAAACAACTGTGCATCTCCCTCTATCAGTGTTATAGAGGGCGAACAATTTATGAGTTTACCCTGGACCTCTCTCTGAGATGGCTGGGTGCCTAGATACCCCAACTTCAGGGTCGGCTCCAAGGCCCCCAAGTCCTTTGCCTTCCTCGGGCTCACGGGGGCTACACTCCTGGGCCCCCTGCCTGGGGGTTCTTAGTTACCGTAAAACCAACATTCATTGGTTTCTTTCCTCTGTTGTCTAGGAGTTCTTGCTACTTTTGGGGGTTCTACCCACCCCCTCCATCTCCCTTCGCCTCTCTAATTGGGTTCTCCCCACCCCCTTCGTCAGGATCTCCCTTCCCACTTCCTTTCCCGCAAGTAGGGCCCCCCCCAATCGCTTCCCAGTAGGCCTGGGCAAGGTAACCTCCCCACTACCCCTATCTGCTGCTATCCGATAGCTCCAGGTGTCCCCATGGACACACCGAAGGGCTACCTTTGTCCCCGGAACCATCCAATGTGTCTTCACCAGACCCTTACCAACCAGTGAGCAGGTGGAGGCAGAGCCCACCAAACCCTTTTGGGACTTCCTCCCCACCAACACGGGATTGGTGGTTAAGGGCCAATTTCCCAGTCCCTCCCACCCCCTGGTCCACCCACAAAAGTCTGCCAGCCCACACTCCATTTGAGGGCAGTTCGGTTTTTTATGGCCAGGGCGCCCGCACTGCCAACAGGTCAGTTCGCGGCTGCGGGCAGGCACTGGGTCCGCCCCCTTCTTGGGTGCCTGTTCCAGTGGACTCCTTCCAGGTCCAGCTCCGCTATGGGGCTTCACCGCCCTTCGGGTCGCCTCCGCCGCAATGTACTCCTCTGTCAGCCGGACTGCATCTGCTACATGGGCCCGCTGATATCGTCGGACCCAAACGTGTACAGGATCCGGGAGCCCCTGGAGAAATTGCTCCAGGATCTTCTGGTCCATTATCTCCTCCACTGTCTGGGCCGCGGGCCTCAGCCACCTAGTGGCCCAGTCAGTCAACTTCTGGGCAAATGCCCTGGGCCTCAGGCGCTCCGTCCAGCAGGCTGCCTAGAACTGCTGACGGTACCTCTCAGTTGAGAGTCCGATCCTGTCCAAGATAGCGGCCTTCACAGTTTCATAGTCTCTGGCTTGGGTCTCTCTCAAAGCCGTAAACGTCACTTGGGCTTCACCGCCCAGGTACAGGGCTAGCCGCAAGGCCCATGTTGAACTCTCCCAGCCGGCTGCTGTAGCCACCCGTTCAAAGGTCCCCAGAAAGGTATCTGGGTCATCTATGGGGCCCATCTTACAGAGCCCCCACCCTGGTGCCTTGGTTCCGTCCCTGCTCGCTGGACTCACTACCCGCTAGAGCAGGGGTAGGCAACCTATGGCACGCGTGCCGATTTTCAGTGGCACTCACACTGCCTGGGTCCTGGCCACCGGTCCAGGGGGCTCTGCATTTTAATTTAATTTTAAATGAAGCTTCTTAAACATTTTAAAAAACCTTATTTACTTTACATACAACAATAGTTTAGTTATATATTATAGACTTATAGAAAGAGACCTTCTAAAAACGTTAAAATGTATTACCGGCACGTGAAACCTTAAATCAGAGTGAATAAATGAAGACTCGGCACACCACTTCTGAAAGGTTGCCGACCCCTGCGCTAGAGGATCTGCTGTTGGGCCACTGACTGCTCCTTGATGAAGTCTTGGAGGGCCCGTTGTTGGTCCCCCTGCCATGCCATCAGGGCCTGTCTTTCCGTCTGGTGGGACTGCTGCAGCTCCTGCACTGTAGTAACCAGCAATTTCAGGGTCTCCTCCATACTGGCAGCCACTGGAATCGGTGGTTAGGAGGAAATCTCGGACAAGTCCCTATGTGTTACAGGGCGGCACAGGTTTCCTTCTCCTTGTCCCTGCACCCTGTGCCTGGGCTGGCCAAAGAAAGGGTCTCAGACGCCTCTTGCAGGTGCTTCACCCATATTCTTTTCTTTACAGTGGCTGAACAGTCCCAAATCCCCAACATCAGTCCCCGCTCTGACCCCTCAATGGGTCCTCTGACCTTTGAGACCTGTGTCAGCCCGCAGAGACAGAGCCTCAAGCTTCTTATCTTCCTCTCTGGCTTTCCCCCTCTGAGCTTTTCCCTGGGTTTATACGCCTTCCCAGTCATCAACCCAGCTGGTTCCACTAGGCTCAGCAAATCACCCTGAGCCTGCCCTCATTAGGGCCTGCAGCTGGGCTCCCTGCTAGGGGTCTTGGCCCATAAACCCGGCCACCCTACAGGGAAACAGGGGGAAGCCAGCTCTTTCGCAGGGCAGCCAAAGGTTTTATACCTCTGCCCTGTGACAGATGCCTTTAGCAGATAAGGTTAGAATAATAGAAATGTAGGACTGGAAGGGACCATTCTAGTCCATTGCCCTGCACTGAGGCAAAACCAAGTAAGCCTAGACCATCCTTGAATGTTCTTTTGTCAACCTGTTCATAAAAACCTCCTATGATGGAGATTCCACAACCTCCCAAGTAATTTGTTCCAGTGCTTAACAACCCTGACAGTTATGAAGTTTTTCCTAATGTCCAACCTAAACCTCCCTTGCTGCAATTTAAGTCTATTGCTTCTTGTCCTGTCCTCTGTGGTTAAAAAGAAGAATTTATTACTCTCTTCTTTGTAACAATCTTTTACATACTTGAAGACTGTTATACCTCTCCCCCACCCCCAGTCTTGTTTTTTCAATCTTCCCTCATAGGTCATGTTTTCTAGACCTTTAATCATTTTTGTTGCTCTCCTCTGGATTTCCTCTAATTTGTTCACATCTTTCCCAATGTGAAGGACACTAAACTGGACACAATAGTGCAGCTGAGGCCTTATCAGTGCTGAGTAGAATGTGGGAATTGCTTCTCGTGTCTTCCTTGCAACATTTCTGCTAATAAATCCCAGGATGATGTTTGTCTTTTTTGCAGCAGTATTACATTGTTGACTCATATTTAGTTTGTTGATACACTACAAACTCCAGATCCTCTCTGCAGTACTCCTTCCTAGGCGGTCACTTCCCATTTTGTGCAATTGCTTCTTCCTTCTTAATTGGAGCACTTTTCCTTTGTCCTTACTGAATTTCATCTTGTTTATTTCAGACCATTTCTCCAGTTTGTCAAGATCATTTTGAATTCTAATCTTGTCCTCCAAAGTGCTTGCAACCCCAGCATGGTATAATCCGCAAATTTTGTAAGTGTATTCTCTATGCCATGATCCAAATAATTTATGAAGATATTGAATAGAACCTGACCCAGGACAGATCCCTGCAGGACCCTGCTTGATATGCCCTTCTAGCTCAACTGTGAATCATTGATAACTATTCTCTAGGTATTTATCAGGGCTTGCTTAGGGACCTCTTTGTGCAATATATTGACTCCTCCATTGTCCTTGTCTTCTAGAAATGAGAGTCAATTTCTGTACATCTGTTACAATGCTTTGAGTTATGGGCAGGGAGGAGCAGGTGTCATGTTTAGGAGCATGACTTAGAAGAACTGTAAAAATTTTGGATGCTCTTATTTCTGTTGTCTAGCTGGTCTTTAAAAGCATGTGACAAGAGTTGGAGTGTCAATCTCGGCAAAGAGTGTTCTATCAGCCACGCTTTCTGCATTTTCTTGGAGTTTGTCTATTTTCTGAATAATGGACTTTTTCTTGTTCCGGTCCAATCCTCGACAGGTGAGAACAGCTTCAATATGTTCCTTTCTGTGAAAAACAAAACCAGTGTCATTCTTGAGGAGTCCAAACAATGCAAATAAACAGCAAGCCACGCCCTAAGGTAAGGTAGAGCGGAAACAGCCAAACAGTTTCCATCCCTTAATATATCTCAGGTGTTCTCTGCCGATTATCCCATAGTCACCATGGGCTAACACAGAGCATTGCTGAGGGGCCTGGAGGCATAAAAACTCTGGGACAATCAGTGATGCTGGTGAATGGGATAGCTTAATGGTCTCTGATACAGGCAGTTGTGGATAAAATACAACATAGCTGCAAGTGCCCAGGAATGTCTTTTTCACAGTCAGCTGGGAGACTTGCCCGTGTAAGGACTGCTGGGTCAGGGTACAATGTAAGTGTTAGTATAGAATCAAATTCTGCCACCTTTATGTTAATACCTTATTCTGTGAGGAGTCTCATTATCTTCAACATGGCCACTCGCCAGGTGGGTTACTACTTATTATGAGTAAGGCTGGCAGAACTGGGCCCCAAGATTTGCAAACACAAGATGGGAGTTAAGTGCCCATCTCCTATTGGAAGCCAATGGGAGTTAGGTGCTTACCTGCTCTTTGTGCCTTGAAAATCTACTCCCTGGATGTTTTCTACATTAATGTGAAATCTCCACCTTCATCACACTAAGATTTCCTGAGAAGCTGGGGGCCTTTTATGTAGCGAGTATTTGATTGTTAAATAATGTGGGCAGTAATACTCAAGAAATGGACAGGCACTAATTAGATTAGAGCTAGTAAAGAAGACTTAAGTAGCGGGCACTATTCCAGAAATCTGGGCACAGACAGATGCAGAAACCCACCTGAAAATCTGAGTCATGACAGCTAGGCTCTAAAGCAAGACAGTGCTAGGAGGCTCTGTCTGGTTTTCAAAACTTGCTTGGCCAAAGATTATAAGATTCAGCAAGTGCAAGCTAAGAAACAAAAGCCAAGTTGATGAACCTTGAAATCTACTTGTGGTTGCGTTTTAAGGCTAATTATTAAAATTGTCATTGACCCCAATCCAGCAGATTTAAGAGTGTCACATGCTTTAAAGTTAAGTATGTGCAGAAGTCTTTTGGGGCTTTTTTTTTAGGGTTAGATTGGTTAAATATTTTGGATTCAGTTTCTGTGTTCTGAGCAATCTGCTAAATTTCATGCTTAAATTAATCCGTGTGCAAATAACATCCAGTGGTCAGGGCCGGTACAAGGAAGTTTCGCGTCCTAGGCGAAACTTCCACCTTGCACCGCCCCCCGCCCCGCGGCCGCCCCCCCCCCCCCCCCCCCCCCCCGGGGGCCCCCCCCCCCCCCTCGCGGCAGCTCCCACCCCGGCCCGGAGATCCGTGCGGCAGCTCTGACCCAGGGGTTCCCCTGGGCTGCTGGCGGCATGCTGACCCGGGGAACCCCTGGGCTGCCTGCCGGTGGCTCAGACTCCCTCTCCCTCCCAGCATAGCAGCCGCTGTAAAAAAAAAAATTGGGGACGTCGCTTTTTGGCGCCCCCAAATCTTGGCACCCTAGGCAACCGCCTAGTTGGCCTAAATGGTAGCACCGGTCCTGCCAGTGGTAACCACACAACATAGTGCAGTCACCTGCATGTGCTTTACAAACTAACTTTTGTGAAACATACTTTAAGCTTTGCTGTTTAGTGGATATATTGATGTCATTAAACTCTATTGTTTTTGAAGTATGATAATACAACCAAAGTTCTAGTTCTAGAGAAACAATAACCTTACATGTATCAGACTCCTTATTGAGTCATGGAAAATCAATTGATAGTTTAGAGGGGCCTAAGGATATGAGATCATACCTGACTTGTAGGTACTGTGGACAAGCGCAGTGCTTCAGATTCACTTTGGTGTAAAAGGATGGCCCAAAAGCCCACAACAAAAGCTGAGAAATGTGTATCAGGTTCTGCTCTGTCTGATGTCGCTTTGCCACTGAAGGCTGGATTGTAACCTTACAATCCCCTGGCCAGGTTTGGAAATCTCAACCATAACTTCACTTTTTAAAAACAAAAGACTAAATTCTGCAGCAATCTGGGGCCCAGGAGAAATGCTCAATATGCACCTACCACTGTGTAGTCATAGCCATAGAGTTTAAGGCCAGGAGAGACCAGCAGATTCCAGTCTGATCTTCTATCACAGGTAACCAACACCACCCAGCCAGCCTAGCACCAAGTCCAACAACTAGCATTAGACCACATTATTGCAGCCCTGGCTCCATCCAACCCCTGTATCGATGTTATATTTATATTTCTAGTGTGCCAACCACCATGGCATCTAGTAGCCAAATTAGGATATTATTTATCCTATAATCCTGGAAGGATACATATTCTCTGCCTCACCCTCAGTAGGGTTGAAATCCATACAGGAGGTTTTAGAGAGGAATTCGCCCCCACTTAGAGAGGAAGATGCCCTTTCTTATACAGCTGCCATTCCACACATGGGTTTTTAAAAACAGCCTCCAATTTTGCAGGTGCAATTTTGGAAGCACAATAAATTGAGGGCACAAAAGAGAGCATTTAGATGCCAAACTACTGGATTGTGCCAGCAAAATCAGGGTTTGGGATGCGGCCCCTTCAAAAATCCAGTTAAAATTTTCAAAAGCAGCAACTGACCTTGGAGGCCTCAGTTTTTGGGTGCTCATCTTAAGACCTAGACCAAACCCATTTCCTCCAACGCTGAGCCCTGCAAATTGGCTAGCACAGAGCCTTCAAATAAAACACAGTAAAACAATATGGGATCGGAAATAACTTCTGTGTACCATAAAGTTCAGCTGATTCTGCTGCTACCAACCTGGAAGCAAATTATATAAATATTCAGGGGCAAAAAACCTGAGCTTCACCCTGCTCACAGCACTTTACATTGAGAAAACCTCTGATATTAACCCCACATACCTGACATCTGGATAAGCCTGACATATTTCCTCAATATATTCCTTGATTTTGTGTCTGTTCTTCTCGGAAATTATGTTTGCAATGTAATGAATGGCAGAATTAAGCCAATCCACATCAGAGCCCTAGAGATAAGTTAGAAGAGGTGAAGTCTGTGATCTGTATTTTAATGAGAAATGTCAACATGTATGATTCACATTTACAGAGAAGTTAACCAACTTGCTCAAGATCATGGCGTGAAGCCATGGCAGTCAGCCTCGAACCTTGTTCTTCTCCTGACTTCTAGTCTCTAACTTGTAGGCCATGCAGCCTCCCTGTGTGACTCTCTATAGAAACCATAACACATGGCAGTGGATGTTACACTGTAATATGATGTCTTGGTTGTATTGCAATGTTGCATAGAAAGGACCAACAGTGAGTCTGTGAAATGAAGGGGAACAGGGTCCCGAGGTTTTAGTTTTTCTGTTGCATTATCAACCGTTTTTAAGGCATTGTTAGTCTCAGTGGTTCACAAAGGGTTTTAAAAGCAAGCAGCTGCTTTCCGGCTCCTTCCTTGGAACTGGGAACAGTGGGGACGGAGCTCTTGTGTGCATGAAGGCCGCTTAGATCGTCCTACTGGAATTTCAGTAGGGGTCCAACTTTGCAGTCACGTGAGTAGGCCCAAGGGGACGGAGTGCATGAGTATGGCCCACTCATGTGAATAACAGTTTGTAGGTTCGTGCCTGGACTAGGGTGACCAGATAGAAGTGTGAAAAATCGGGACAGGGGGTGGAGGGGTATATAAGGTGCCTATATAAGAAAAAGCCCCAAATATTGGGACTGTCCCTATAAAATTGCAACATCTGGTCACCCTAGCCTGGACCCTGCATGATAATATGGTAGATATCAAATGCCAACCTCTCGGAAAGCTGATTTGTCTGCATTGCCCTGAGTGGCTATTTCCTCTACCTCGCTTGCCAAAGAAGCACTACCCTTGGCTCACTAATGATCAAAGCTGGGAGGTTTGAAAAGAACCTAAAGCAGTTCGGTGCCCAAATCCCTTGAATTTCAATAGCAGTTGGGCACCCACCTCCCTCAGGCTGGGATATTCAACGGCATCGAAGTGCTTTGAACGTTGGTATCAATGACTACAAAGGGTGCAGTCAGCAGTAACTCAAGCCTGAAATATCACCCATCACAAAGCCCCGGCTTCTGCCTCTCTAGGCCTTCTCTGGACGAGGACGGTTTTCCTAAAAATATCCCACCGTTGATCTCTCTGGTTTCTCTCCATCAGTTGTAGCAAAGGTGGGCGTAGTGCTAATGTAGACAAGCTTCAGGCAGCCTCTGGCATTTTAATCACTGCCACCTAAGCCTGTTGTGAGCAGGGTTCGGTGGGGCAGGGCCTGACCCATATTTTCATTTGAAGTCACTGGGAGCTTTTTGAAAATTAGGTCTGTGGTCCTTAAGCTACTAGTGACTGCAGATGCCTTGTCTACACCAGTTCTAGTACTGGTTGAGCTGAACCAGTGATTGCAACAGTGGGGGATTTTAGGAAAACTATGCTAGTGTAGTCACAGCCCTATCGATTGGCTGCTTCTCATGTTGGGTTTCACGCCAGCCCACCTTTCATTTTCTGTAATGCAGCTAAAAAGGCCTTGATGCAGTAGGAGGTTTTACATACCAGCTCTTCGAAGCAGTTATGTATGACAGTAGCTTCTTCCTTCATCTTGTTGCCAACCTTTTCCCGCTTGGCTCTCTTCATTCTCTTTCTCGGTTTGATAGCCTGTATGATGTACTCTCTCACCACGTACTTGTGAGCATCCCCTAGAAAATCCTGTTTATTTGTTTTAAAAGAAAATATGGAGGGCAATGAGGTGTGAGAGCAGAGGAGCCTTGGAACTCCTTGGCAATGTCAGAAGAGGTAGATGAGAATCCTGGGCTGAGCATCTCTGGGCTAATGAGCACACGTGAAATGCCAGCCCAGGATTCTGTTCTGAATGCCACTTTTCGGAAGAGCACTCAGCGCAGTGCGTGGATGCTTCTGAGCAGGACACATGGCTCATGTTCCCTTCCATCCACCATCTGCCTAGACATGAAGTGAAGATAGTGAACAAAAAGAAGCCATATAATTACTCACTGTCTCTATCCAAAATTGATCCATGATTATATGTTGGTGATTTGGTTCTTCAGTAACTAATGGGGACATGTGGGACTGTTTAATAATAGGTTTGGATATAGATGTAAAGCAACAACTATAATTCTACATTTAGGTGGTTAAGCCAGATAATTGCGTCAGGAGTAGTAGAGTATATCACTGTGATGCCTCCTTTGTATTTGTGAATCGAGCATTGAGTCATTTTATGTTTCATGATCTGTTCTGGGTGACCACAGTTGCACACTGGAGAGTTTTTTGTTTTCCATTTGTGCAACAAATATACACATCTGCCATGGTTTGCATGGATGTGGTTTAGGGTTGCCCATGAGCTTCCTGAAAGATTGAAACCAGGGGGTCTCCTACATTGGATCTTTCACAAGGTACTTGTGACTTCTTGTGAACTTCATTCAGCTTTCCAAGCTTCATCAACGTTGAAGTCACAGTATTAAAGGTTAAGTACGTGGGTCCAAAAGGGCTCACATGCCTTCAAGTGGAGGTGGGGGATGTTGTTAAGGTCTTGGTGGATGTGGAGACATTTGCTTCCCTTGAGTCGCTGGACTTCCCAGAGGGTTGCAGCATTGCAGCGAACCGATGGAGGAACAATGTGCAACAGCATTGGCAGCCAGGGTGTTGCAATTGAACAGTAATATACTAACCAATGCTTTTGGTTCCTCTTTGAGACCAATTCCCCTATTTCAGTTGTAGATAGGAAGCACAAAAAGGTTATTTCCATGAAAAAGTAAGGGACATACCTTGCAAACTTTCATTTAAGCAATTGTTAGTTATATCAATAGCTGCATTGACGGGAAGGGAGTGACCTTTGCAGGGTCAGCCCCTAGTCTGGAAATAAGATCACCATCTATACTGCTGTAACCTCATGCCAATTGCAATGCATAGGAAAAGGATACATACCTTGTTAACAGGCTGCTCTAAATGTTTTAGGTGTTGGCAAAATTGTACAGTTGCTGACATTATTGAGTCCAGTATTTCACTATTTAACATCCATGCGTTGGTCAGAATTTTCTTAAAGAGTGGCTGGAAAAAGACCAATTCGCCAGCGTTATTATAGTAACATCTTCCAAACCCAAATTACTCAGCAAACTCTGTGTTTTGGGCACTGTACACAGCATACAGGAAGACCCAGACTAACTCGTTCAGAAATATCTTAGGCACTAAGGGCCAGATAATTAAAGGGATTTAGGTACCTAACATGCAGATAGGTACCTAGTGTGATCTTCAAAAGCATCTAAGTGCCTAACTCCCATTGATTTCAACAAGTGCTAGGTGTGTAGGTGCTTTCGAAAATCTTACTAGGTGCCTAAGTATCTTTACCTTAGACTCTAAGTCCCATTGAATTTCAGTGAGACCCAACCCCTGAGTGCCTTTTACTTTTGAAAACATTACTCATATGTTTCTAAGTCCCTTAGGAGCATTTGAGAATATTACGCACAGCCAGTAACGTTGAGGCCACTCCTGCTTTCACTGCACACCCAAAGCTCTTACGGAATTCTGCTGGAGTTTTGGGCACACAAGGAATGCAGAAGTGCGTCCGAAGTTAGACATGACCACGGTTCAGAGAAAGACAGTGTGCAGCTGGAGCAGGGCTAACTCTGAAGTACAGCTATCCTGGGGGATCAGTGCTAGAGCAGTGGTAAACGTCGCGGCGAGCAGGCTCCCACTTACAGGACATGCTTTGTTTGATTAAGGGGATTAAGTGCAGATGCTGTGTTTTTTCCTGCATTTTGGTTTTGTGTAATCCCCTGACTCTATTTCTTTAGATAAATAAAACCCTGTTGCATCAGCTGGCAAATCTTATGGGTAAGGAGAGAAATTGAAATGTTAATCATAGAAACCCGAAGTGGAATGTAAGAGCAACTCACTGAGCACTGCTGGAACACAGTGATACTTGTGGTCAGGCTGTTTTCTTGATATATTGTACAAGGTTCTGCTGGGGTCAGTCACCATAGCTCCCTTGCTTTCAGCTGAGCTACACAGATTTACACCAGCTGAGGATGTGACTCATCCTTCAGCAGCAAACCTGTTGGAAGCTAGCTCCGAAACTAACCACCTCCAATCTCAACTCTTATCCAGAAATAAATCAAAATGCGCTAGGGCAAATCCCTCCTTTTAGGGAGGCCGTCCCCAGTGTCTGTGGATCTCATGCTGAATCCTCCTCTGCTTGTCACTCTGATCTGGGTGTGGTGGATCTGGCTGTGGGAAAAGTTCCCAGATATACACTCCACCTGTTCATGGTAGAGGTTAAACCTGTAGTGACCCAGCCTGCTCACTAAATCCTTCACATCACCACCCAGGGTACATCTCTGCTGAAATCCTTATCCATGCCCTGCTCCTCTCTTTGACCATTGCAGGTCTCTTCCCTGTGGTCTGCCCATGGCTCTCCAGACACTAGCATCTCCAGAATTATGCTGCCTACGTGCAGTCGTACCAAGAGAAGCTCCGTCATAGCTTAAATGCCTCCACTGGCTCCCGGTGGGTATTCTCTTGAGGTTCAAGTTCAGTTGCCCTCCTTCTGAAGATTCTCTTGCGATTTGCCTGAGCTCAGCTTTCTGTCTGCTTTTTTCTACATCTCTCTAAGCTCCTGACCATCTAACTCCTAACTGAGCCTTCCCCCAGTTGGTCCAAAAATCCCTTCCTCTGCATGCCCTGCCATCTGGAACAGTATTCCCATATCTCTCTGCCTCACCAACTCCATGACTTTCCAATTCTATCTTTAAAACATGCTGCCTTCTCCTTTGCTGGGGCTCTTGGCTCTGCCCCACCCTTGCCTCTGTGTGACAGGCCTGAGGCAAAGCTTACTGAAGCCAATGGAAAGACTCCCACTGACTCTAGTGAGCTTTGGATCATGTTGGAGCTGGGCTATGCCCAAATGCTTCCATTTGTTTGCCATGATGTGTCTTTGCACCACTGTTTCCTGTCGTCTATTCTCTGTAACTTACAGAGTGAAACTCCTATCTGACAAACTATAGGTAATTCATCAATGTGGGGCACAAGTCCCAAACTTTCCTCTCATTTCCCTCACACAACTCTGCTCCCTCCTGCCCCTCAGATCCCTGTACTCTCCTTCCAGGTCCATGTTCAATCCATAAACCATCTGTGGTATATCACTGCACAATCCTCTTTCTGTTTTAGCCACATTATGCCTTCTTGGGGGAGATCGCCTGGAGCCAGTGTGCACATAGCATGCAGGCTGTAGAAATCCCTATCAAAGCATCTGGAAAAGCCCTACTACAACAGAAATAACTTGTCATTTCAGCCTCTTATCCCAGATCTCCACTGTAGTGCTGACAGGAGGACTTTGCCCTTCCAGTGGTGAAAGATCTCTTCGGTTTTGCTATGACAACATACTTGAACAGAGCCCCGAGGCAGAATAAACTCATTTCATTGTCACTATGCTGTGATATGCCTTTAGA